CTTTATTCATAGTTTCATTAAGCCGTCCGTTTGAACTGACCGTTTCTCCATATGATCTCGACATTAAAACATTTCTAACGTCCACATCTTTATTCTGTTTCATATGTGAACATAGTTATACGTGACAAATCTCTGCTACGACTTTCCAACGATTTCCTTTCTGTATTTAACATGTACACCAGAGTCCGCTAAATCATATCTGATTCTCACATAGGTCCTCGATCATGGAAAACCTTCAATCTCCTAATCGGCCTCTGCACCCTCATGTCTCTTCTAGCAGTTTCGCCGATCGGTTTACTACTAATCACCTTCACGCTGTTTCAAGAGGCCCTGAAAGTTCTTGCCTCTAGGCGTCCAGTCAAATGTGAGAAGTTGAAACGAACTAATACCAACAAAGGCACAATTCTCAGCAGATTTGGTGACACGTGCTAGTTCATTCATACGGAAACAAACACGCCAATGTCAGTTGTTACCATTACAGATGTGTTAAAAGCTATGGTGGAAGACAATGATGACAACAATGACTGTATACATACAGATAACATACGAAAGTTGCAAGCCGACATGAACATTCCTGATTCGCCTGCTTTTTTTTCATATAAAAACTTCAACGAAATCCAGATCAGAAGTATGTAACAAGCAGTTTCCTAGGATGTATAGCCTCAGAAGCGTTTGAAAGAAAGGAATGGTCTTGATGGTGTCACAGGTATTCAGTGTTTGACAACGCTTCTACCAGTAACACCTTCTAATATGATTTGTACCCACCGAGAGAAATCAAAAGACAGAGTCGAGGAGATCGGAAGAGTGTATTCGGCGATTACCAATATATCGGAATTCTCTAATCTAATCTGGCCGGCGATTGCGGTTGATGTTGAGCACGGCGTTACCACACGTGATCTGGTGCGGATGCCTGACCGAGCGCCTTCAGCTAGATGAGTCCACTAAAACATATGGTCAGCATCCAATCTCGAAAACTTACAGGCTATTTATTTTGGGGATTTATTTACCGCTACAGATCACTCCCCCCTAGTGGGTTAGTGATGACCCTAAGACGTGGCCAGCCAGAAGTTTAAACCCAGCGAGTTTGTCGTTGGTAAACACTCTTCTGATAGCTTGCCAGGATTAGCAGCGTCTGGTCGTCTTTCCTTACTATATGGGACCGAGATACAAGATAGTAAAAAAGAAAAAGTTACAAAGAAAATTTCGACTCCTCGTAAACTGCATTGTCCTTTTCCAGCGGTCCTGGAAAAGAAAAAATGTAAGTGCATGTCGAAATACACTCGTATGTGCGTAAAAACACAATGTCGGCGAAAAAAATGGAAAAAAACTCTAGAACACGTAATAGCGTTAAATAAATAATTTTGCTTGTTTGTTTGTTTTTAAATAAAAATATAAATATATAAGCATATTAAAATTGTTTTTAAAAAAAAATATTATATATCGTAAAAAGAAAGATCGAGATAATATAAAATGTCGAGTAGTGCCTTACGTGCAATAGTCGTTTAAATGCTCTGGAAATCTTACTCTTCTTCCAGAACGCGTCGTTTTAGGTTTATTTTCAGATACATTCGGAGTATCATCGCTAGTGTTGGTTGTCGGTTGAGGAATTATGAGTGGAGTCGTGTCATTCGAAGGAAAATCGACGTAGATAGGATTTACTTCTAAATACGCTGCTTTGAGGCGATCGATGCTGATGCTATCGTTAGTTTCGTTCTTATCGATTATATAGTACTTCGGTTCGCGTTGAAGAACTTTGAGAGGTCCTTCGTATGCTGATTCGAGTGGTCGTCGATGCGAGTCTCGACGAACGAAAACGTGTGTACTATATCGTAAGTCAGGTTGAACGAAAACATCAGTTGACTGAGGTCGAGTGGAAGCAGGTTTAACTGAACGCATTGCGTTTGTAAGCCTGCTCGTGTAGGAGGTTAGATCCACGTTCATAGAAGAGGACGAAGGATCCACGAATTCTCCTGGAAGTCGAAATGTCGTTCCATAAACGAGTTGAGCCGCAGTGTATCCAATGTCAGCTTTCACTGCATTGCGAATACGTAGTAAGACGAGTGGAAGAGCGTCGGTCCACCGTGAAACGTTTGCAGCTGATAGTGAAGCTTTTATTTGTCGGTGAAAGCGACTGACCTAGCTGAAAGTGCTCGGTCGTACAACTGCACCAGATCACGAGTGGTTACACTGTGCTTCACTTCTCTTACAATCCCTTGCCAGTCTAGATTGGTAGCTTTTTGATATATCGGTATTCTATCAAATAAATATTCGAACCTCTTCGCTTCTGACTTCACTGGGTTGACATGTTTTGGTTATAAAAGGTGTTACTCATTGAGGTGTTGTCAAACTCCCAATACTTGTGGCATAGTTCATTTAAATCATGCTCAATATAAGAGAAACCAAGTCTCTCAAAACTATAAAATTTAAGATTCGAAAGGTCAGAATTATAACACACGTACCATATACGTTCGCAGAACTGAATAAGTCGCCCTTGTTTTCATTCACAAACACTGCTTATCTCAAACACATCTATTGAGGCAAGTGGATTTCCAACTTTCTTGGGGGTAGTCATGCACAAAATGATTTTCAGGGATGTTAAGAATCTGCCAGATAGAACACTGTATCAACGGCGGGCAAAATCCTCGTAAACAACGATTAGCACAGTGACGTCTTAAGTATGCAGGTTATTTAGCTCATAAAACTGCGATCGATTTTGTAAAAAAACCATTGAATTAACAAATAAGCCACCACTGTCTAACTCATCCTTATCTTCAGGATGGGTTTTGTGGAGAGTTTTTTTAGAAATTTCACAGGTTGAAATCATCAGTCGATTGAAGCTAGAACACCATGGAAAACCTGGAAGCACTGGACGGCCGTTTCGTCCTGGTATGAAACTCCTCAGCAGCGCGCATCCACGATCCCGCACCACGCGGGGCTCGAATCCATGACCTACTGGCTTTGCGTGCGAGCACTTAACCACTAGACCACTGAGCCGGCATCCAACGGTGTTAATGTCTAACTTCAACCAATCCACGAAGTTGCGCCACCGCACACCATTGTCTTCTGTGAGTTACTATCCTGGGTTCGAGCCCCGCGTGGTACGGGATCGTGGATGCGCACTGCTGAGGAGTCCCATACTAGGACGAAACGGCCGTCCAGCGCTTCCAGGTTTTCCATGGTGATTTAGCTTCAATCGACTCATGATTTCAACCTGTGAAATTTCATCCTCATCTGTTTGTGACATTTTGTTTATCTGAGAATGTATACATGTAACAATTCTGGAACTGTTCTGATGGACCTGATGGCATTCCTGCATCATTCATGAAATACTATAGTGTGGAGGTCCCATTATTCTTTTTAAAAGTGATTAACTTATTCATGGACGATTGAATTTATAAGTCTGTATGAAATACATTACGTATTACCCTCAGATTCGAAACGAGACGACGTAATAATACTGCTAACTCTAGGTTTGTAATTTTATTGCCTAGTTCTGTAATAATATACTTATCATTGTTATTATTATAACAGACCTAAGTCCAAAATTGTAGATTTATCATGACATGACTACCTAAACGTAAGATCTTACGGGGAAGCTACATCATTGTCTCTTCTGACTCATCATATTGTAACAGTCAACAGTACGATGTTTAGAACTTTCGACGAACACATTTGAGCTGGGGATAGTATAATATATTTTAATGTGAATATGGATTTTTCACAAGGATTACCACACCCACGAAGATAAGCCATGCCACACTGATCAAATGCTTCCACGTTCGTTATCTCGACCTTCCTTGAGTGTCGCACGTTGAATGTAAATCTCAGTGATTATACATTCGGCTTCAAAGACTGTTATATTAGGAACCAACACTGTTGTGTATTTCAAGGTCAGTTAGTTATTACGTGATTTATTTACCAATTGAAATACAATTTATTCAATCCTAGTAATCTGTTAAATTAATGACGTTTGACCGCTATGAGCAGCCTAGCGTCCTTATTAGTCCTTTGTTCGCCTGCCCCATCCAGTTGAGTCCAGAACATCAAGAACAGCTTCCACTATGCGAATCATTTATTTCAAACACACTTGATTTATATACCAAACAAACAGACCGCATCACACCGTAAAGTATGAAATAACATTTATACAAGATCAAACGTGGTTGCGGACGTGGGAGTCTGTAATCAACAAGCTAAACATAACTTAAGAACAGTCAATCGTATAATAATAATATATAGGTCAAAATGACGCTTATGATAGGAGAAATATAGATACAAATAATAATAGTCGCTGAACAGCTATACAACAGGAATATATATATATATATATATATATATATAATACTAGTCCATTAATAGTTCTCAGAAGTTACTCGTAATTCAATCTTGACTGGTATATAATAAATACCACCACACTACTTTCACACCAGAATCGATATACCATTGTTTCAATACCAAATCGAGTATGGTCATCGCGTGCCGTAGGTTAACAAACGAATAATATCAGTCCTCAGGATAATGGTAAAGTGAAAGATAAATCAAAATAGTGTCAGTAACCGGTCGTAAAGTACGTGTAATAGTTTCAAAATGTTTGATTAAATTCGTGACATGTGCAAAATGAAACTCTTTGTGATTTATGATAAATATATTTTACCAAGTCACATTAAGATGGATAGAATTAGATGTTGGCTATTAGTTTGACATATAGTCAGGAATGTTTGAGATACCTTAAGTCATCAGGAGATCACTTTTGATTTTGCGACTTGCCTTTGGATACATTCTAGTGTTTTGGAACGGCAGAAGAAACACTATATTTCCTTACCCTAAACGAGCAGTTAAAACTGTCAAAGATTATGTGGAAATTTGTGTAGTCAGTGTGGTCAAAAATGTGCTTCAACTCACGGTGGGCGTAAGACTTCAGATTATAGGGTACTCATACTAATAGATCTTTTACAACTCCAGCATCTCTAGATAGTAATTACCCGGATTGTATGTGTGGAGCGCAACATGTCTCAGATGGACTACAATTACGTGCTAAAGATATTGGATATTGGAGGTGCATAGGTTGACTGTGGCGTTACATTGTGTGCGATGTCCGTTCAGAAGAGCTACTTTTGAAATGGTCTTAGATCAGTGGATAGAGTCTGTCAAAACTTGTAAATACCTTCCAGAAAACGAACTTAGAAAATTATGCAGCTATGTTAGTGAATTGCTTATTGAAGAGTGCAATGTACAGCCTGTTTCCTTCCCTGTTACAATATGTGGTGATATTCATGGACAGTTCTATGATCTTTTGCAGTTATTTCGCAGAGGAGGCAAACTACCTGACAGGAATTATATTTTCATGGGAGATTTTGTCGACCGTGGCTATTACAGCCTTGAAACTCTCACATTCCTTCTTGTTTTAAAAGCCAAGTATCCCGCACAAATAACATTGCTGAGAGGAAACCATGAAAGTCGGCAAGTTACCCAGGTATAATCTATGCTTGCAGGGTCTTGTTTACTAGGCTTTGTTAATACTTCGTCCCTCCTAATATGCTCAGTCTGTCCGCTTGTTCAGAAAGTTTTGTATAGATGTTTTTATTTGTTCCTAAGTATCAGTGAATTTCCAAAGTTATACGTTTATAATTTTCACGATTGATTATGTTGGATATGCGCCCTAGTGAGATAATTTGTAACTCTAGTGATCTTAGCAACAGGTTAAAATCCGTTAACCTTATGGGTTCTAAATGATTATTTGATTCTTTACATTCGTTTCGATAGTAGTGATGAGAACTGAATTACTTGTGTTAAAAAACTTTCGAGCAGTTGCATAATCTAAGCAACTTTATAGAGATGTTATTCGGCTCCTGAAAGATTTACGTATAGGATTAATTGGCTCCCTATTCGTTGAAGTCGCCATAGCAGTATGGCTGTGTACATTCGACTTCTGACGTTCTCTTAAACCATTGGTTTCTAGATAGGAAGTCATAAAATAGTGTTTAGGTGAGACTACACTTTATGAAAGACTTTTGAGCGACGCTAAAGTGACCTTGAGAGTGCCCAACTAATAAACTAGTATCAGGAGTTAGAAATATGATTTACAGTTGGTGGTTAATGTTAAGAATCAGATTTAAGGCTTTCATCACGAAGTGACATCAGCTATAATGCCGAAACGATATTTTGCCAGGTAGATGAATGAATTCCGCGCCGGGATTTAAGACCTGTTTCTTTAACCTAATTGGTTCGTCTATAAACTACAGTCCGTCACTATTTTCGTAGGTCTTTAATCATAAGAACCTGATTCTCTCTGTGTCTATCTCTTACTGTGAGGAATGGGTTGAGTTTTATTAATTCTTTATGAATAAACGATGTGATTATTCAATTCATACTCCAGGACGAATCCCTCCAACCAAAATTTATCCATCCGACCGTAGCTGCCACATTGACCTGGCGATCGGGCTTGCATATCATGATGGCACAACCGAGCTATACTGGCTAGAACATATGTATTCCTGCAAGTTCTACCGTGCCAGGCAGGTCGATTGGAGAATGGTAGGACTAGAAGCAGCAAACCTAGGGTCCGAGGGCGAAGTCGTACTGCTGACTGTAGAACGGTGTGACAGCACTAAGGTGTTTTCCTCGGACAACCAGCGGCTGCAGCGATGCTGACTTCTTTCAAGAAAGGAAGGGGTTAGAAAAGGTTGACTCTAAAAATGTCACACCACCTTACCTCACGGATTTCCGTCTCCGGCGGTAAGGCCTTTTGAAGAATGGAGCTAACACGTTAAAAACTTCCCATAAAAAGGCCATGCGTGACCGTCCTCAAGCAGTTGTCCTTTCGGGCTCTGCGGTCACGCTTCCAGGTCTTCTGACCACTCTAAGCAACAATGCAGCCATGTTCGGGATGCGATTCTTTCCCTCGAAATGCAAAATGTTGCTTCAGGATTGGGTTGCATTGACACCCGAACTAATGATAGGGAGTGAAGTAATTGAGCGTGTCGATTGCTTCACTTATCTTAGAAGTCTCATCAGCCCTTGTGGTCTGGTGTGTGACGAAATCTCAGCACGGATACAGAAGGCTCGACTAGCTTTTGCCAACTTGCGTCATTTATGGCGTAGGCGAGATATCCGTCTATCAACCAAAGGACGGGTTTACTGCGCAGCAGTTCGTTCCGTCCTACTTTATGGCAGTGAAACATGGCCGGTAAGAGTAGAGGATGTTCGTAGGTTACTAGTATTTGATCATAGGTGTCTTCGAAATATTCCTCGTATATCATGGGACCATCGAGTAAGTAACACAGTTGTTAGGAAACGGGTACTAGGTAAGGATGGCAAATCAATTGATGAAGTAGTGAAACTTCATCAGTTGAGATGGCTTGGACACGTGTTACGTATGCCCAACGACCGACTGCCTCGACGTGCGGTGTCCAGTGATATAGGAGTAGGTTGGAAGAAAGCTAAGGGCGGCCAGACCAAAACATGGCACAAGTCCATGAAGTCACTGACAAGTGAACTGAGTCATGTCGGTAGGTGTAGACTACCTGGTTGTGGACCGCGAGATGATAGCAACCGATGGTTAGAGACCCTCAATGACATGGCTCAAAATCGTCTGCAATGGCGCATGTGCATACACTCTTTGTGTTCTCCCAAATTTTGATCTCCTTATTCCTCCTTGTCTCTTTTTTCTCTTCCCAAATTTATTTCACTGTATTATACTCTTTGAATAGCATTTCCAAACGCTAATTTTCCCGATTACTGTTTATACTCTTATTACCTCTACCACTACGGGATTTGAATCGACCACTGCATCTCTGTGCTAATGTGGTATGCCAACTCGAACTGATGTACGTACGTACGAAGTTCTACGTTGTTACTGACTGACTGACTGACCAGGTCGTTAAGACCAACGCTAATCCAACTTTCTTTTCAGGTTCCTCAAGAAATACCCTTCCACGGTGTGGGCAGCCGGGAAGTGACATCAACCCTCATACCAGTAAAAGTACACGAGATCAAGTTGACCACAATCAAATTCTTCCTACATCTCCTAATAACTCTCTTATCTCCACGACTAACCCTTCTCATGTTCCTTTATCACCTCGCGCCACTAATGCAAACGATTCGAGTTCGCGGAACGTTATTCTCGATCTCCTGGAACCACGCTCTAAACTACATGTACAATCTGTTAACGTCCGAACACTGTACCAAATAGAACAACAGGCTTCCTCAGCTGGGACTTTAGAATCTCGCGCTGCTGACGTATACTTCATCTCCTAAACGTGTGTACCGGATTCGAGTAGTGTCATTCATTTGACATCACCATATCACAGTAGAGAACCATCTCGATTCACGCTTCGTGTATCTGGAAACCCTGATGCTGCTTCTCGTGGCCTCGTTGGTATAGGTGTAGCATTGAGTCCCAGGGCAGAACTAGCTCTCTTAGATTGGATACCAGTAGATAGTCGCTTTTGGTACGAAATTACAGAATTTCTTGGTAAAATATGAGAACCATACATAGAATACTTCATTTGCAAATCTCCATCATCTTTCTTTCACGTTCTGTATGATTCTTCCAAGTCACAATTCCTTTCTATTTCTGATCTTAGTCTTCTACCGTTAGGGTTTCCACTTCTGATTGGTGTTACATATCTGTCGATGTAAGTAGCATAAACCACGATTGTACTGCCCAAATAAAGTAGTGAAAACTGAATTTCAATGAAATCCAATAATTCCGTGTCTTTAGATTATCATTCATCGTGTTGAAATATTTCAGGTATTACATTATTAGCTGCCTTTTCGAATTCATGTTTTTGTTTAAGTGCTATGGCTTCTATGATGAATGTATCAATAAATATGGCAATGCAAATCCATGGCATTATTGTTGCAAAGTCTTCGATCTTCTTACTATAGCTGCATTGGTTGGGGAAAAAGTCCTTTGCGTTCATGGAGGTCTGTCACCTCAAATCAAAACACTTGATCAAATCCGGACAATCGACAGACATATGGAAATACCCCATGAAGGTCCTTTTTGTGACATTTTATGGTCAGATCCTGATGATGTAGCCCAGTGGGCTGTCAGTCCGCGTGGTGCCGGATACTTATTTGGACCAAAAGTATGAGTATTCAGTTTCTTAGACATAAGTAAAAGTTTACATTTGGATGTACTGGTACATATTTCCATGTTTTTTTTTTCTAATTGATGCATAACTTTTTAAAGTGTAACCCTTAGATGGAGTAATATTTATAAACTATATCCACACTATTTCGTTCATTCTCAAGTCAACAACTTAGTTTTATCATTTAGATAGTTCCATGTATAGTCTACATAGTCAGTAACTCCATAGCCTAATTCCATTTTCAGTTTGTCCATTCTTGTTTTATTTTTCAACTTCATCATCAACCGATACCAGTAACTTTCCATCCACGTCACAATCCTCTCAGCTTAATCAGTAGAGGTTCAAGAACTCATCTCACTACATGCAAACAGTAGTTCGAAATCATGTTTATCCTTACGACATGATCAAGCAACCTTAGCATTATTTTGTGATCTGATCACTTTTCGGTAGATAGCTAAATACCCCATCTATGCCATAAGTAGTATAGGTTGACAAGTTGTAGGGATGTCTTATGTTTCAATAGCGACATTTTGTCGGTGTTCAGCCTGTCAAGGTTAATACAGCATCCCAAGTGCATTGGTCTACACTCTCAACGAAGTCTTTTTCTGTACCTTGATTAAACGTTGGTGCGGATTAGCCTCAGAGTATCATTTTATATTAAGGATGGTGCATAGCTCATATCAAACGTCAAATTTTCTCATTATTTTTATAATACTATGTCTATCATTTGTATTCCATTAGTTATTTGTTACATTCCTAGTTAGAAAACTATTCTGGAGAGTTGGAACCACTTTCATTGGTATATTTGTGAATATATTGAACAGGATTGGTAGTAGTTGCAATTTTTATCGTATATCACTCATCATCACAAAGAATATGGCTCAGGATCAAGTGTATAAAGTGGTGTCGTAAACAAGTTACACTAAAATATGGTTAATGATCCCCTGGCGACCGTGAAATCTGCTTAGTTTGCTTGTATTTCCTTTTCTCAAACAGTAATTAACTTTCAAACCTGGAATCCCGGTGTCTATGTTAGTTAAACTGGTTACTTTGAGGCTGTGGCAGAAAACTTTTCTGTTATTTCTATCAAGCGGCAGTAATACTTTGTTAAGACCAACCTGTGAAGAAAATTTTTTTGTCATAACCCGGATAATACTTCAATTAATTCAATTATTAGAAGCAACTCAGGTCTATATTAGCCTAGTGTATTGGTTAGATTTTGGTTATTTCAGGAAGTCTATAAGTTGGATTTGTTGTAATTTGTTTGGAGTATACTCATGAATTTCACTACACTACTTGTTTTGTTACTGTAATGCTGAATTGATTTAAGTCATTTTGTATGAAAATCTGAACATGGTTATTTTAGTTTGTTACAAAATGATTATATTTTCTTCTCTAATAATCTAACTGCTCTAAATTCAGAAGTATACATTTATATAAATCTTTACAATTCTTACTACATTTTCCAAATGTTATAAAGTTTTTTAGAAATCACACTCAACACTTACTATCACTATCACTTTTGTAAACCACTTTCAGGTCACTCGTGAATTTGTTGAGCTAAATGGTTTGGAGTCTATTTGTAGGGCTCATCAACTTGTCCATGAAGGTTATAAGTGTATGTTTGATGGACGGCTAATCACTATTTGGTCAGCTCCAAATTACTGTTATCGTTGCGGGAATATAGCAGCAATTTTGGAGTTTCAGAGTCCGACACAATTCGACGCCAAACTTTTCGAGGCTGTACCAGATGAAGAAAGAGTCAAACCTCCTCTAAGAATTACTCCTTACTTCTTATAATATAATTCAAAACCTTAACTTTTTCAGCAAATAATGATCTTTTTGTTAATTCTCATTAACATTACGATCTTCAACTGCAGCTAAAAAACAACATGTTGCAACGTAAAAACAGGCAATAAAGTTGTACAGATCTCTTAGATTTTCATCTACGAATTCATGTTGTATTCTTTTTGTAAATTTTTCAAGTCAAAATATATCACTGGAACTAAAGAGACTCAATGTTGTAAATCAGTTTAAAAGATTGATCATCAATGATACATTACATTCATTAAGACATTAATTAAAAAAGATTAGTTCAGCGATGAGTTCTCTTTTCGGCGAATTCATTTTCAAAGCTGTACAATCATTATTATTATTATTTTAACACATAGATATCGGTACAAGAAGGCACCAAATACATATGCGCCACACAAATCTCATTCGATATGTGTGAGGGTTGTGATACTGCCCGGGTGCCCAGACCAAAACAGGTGGTTTTCCTAGGGGGCCACACTCCGAGCCTTCGACCTGAAGGTCTGATCCACAAGGCAGTGGAGCATCGTAAGGAGATGCAGTCCCATGGAAGCCGGTGACCGACAATTGGTTCATACGCCATTTGTCCCCGCAGGATACTGGAGCCCATGTGCACCATTGGTTTGTGATCCGGTTAAGGCGCCGGACATTCGCTTTTCGTCCTCTCAATTTCGTAAACAACACCCCCGCCTCGAGAAGGCAGTGAGTAGGACTTCCCCGGCAGAGGCTATATACGCGTGGTCATGTGAGAGCATTTCGAGGAGAGCGAACTCTCCCCACTCTCGGCCGTACCAGGGCATTTGGGGGCAATCACAAATATATATACTTATTTTTACAGGATGATAATACTGATAGTAAACTTCTGTTAGGCATGTTAACAGTGGGGTTAAATAAACAAAGTTATTAAAAAATTCTTTTAAAAACAAGGAGTTTAATAATCGTTTGATTGTTAGCGGGTTAAGTATTCATCAAAGGATAGATAGGGAAATTATCATTAGAAAAGAATAGCTCAGCACGATAAGTGTTGAAATTGAGATTAAATGTAATGAGGGTGATCTTGGAAACGAGATGAACCAGTTGGGGGTAGGAAATTCAAGGGAAAGATGGAGGGTGAAGCAGATGGCTGTAAAGGGAGAAGAGTATGAAGAAAGAGGAAAAGAAGGGAAAACTAAAATAAAAACAAGAATTAAAAAATGAAAAAAGTTTAAGACATCAGGACCATGGTAGAAGAAGAGGTTGTACCAGTCGCTTTTGCACACAATTCTGGTCTTTCCAGATGTATGGCTAGTGCTTCGGCAATGCAAAGAAGACGCAGTCTAATTGTTTTGGGGAAGCTTCTACTTACCTCGTAGATGACTTTGGACGCAGTCTGTTTTGATTGAGTGACCTGTGTTCACTAGGTGTTCGATTACTGAGCTTCTTATTGAGCCGCTTCCTCCTATTTTTAGCCATGCCGGACAATGTTCTTGAATTCTTTTGGATAAAGTGCGCATCGAACGACCTATATACCTAGCTCCACATGAGCAGGTAAATTGATAAATGCACATTGAGTTGGTCAGATGCGATTATTTATCTTTAGGATTATTGGTGAACAATGATCGGCTAGAGAATACTATTCGCAATGTTGTTGCGGGGAATGTTCTTTCTAAAAAATCGGGAATTCTCCTTTTTAGGGTGTGTGTGTGTGACTCTGTCACCCCTGAATTCGATGTTCATATATAAAGTTTTCTTTTCTACTGTAGTTATCTGTGTTTTCGGCTTTATGTTCTCATCAATGAATATCGAAGGATATCCGTTTTTAATAAGTATCTCCTTCGAGTGGCCCAATCCTTCATCTATGACTTCGTGAATACAGATTCGTCGTATTCTTGTTGAGAGTGTTATTATTAAGTTTCTTTTTCGACTAATGGGGACTCAGCTGTGGAAACTTGATAGTTAGCCATTCCACATGGGTTTTTTGTAGATAGGTCTTTTTAGAGTACCATCTTCCTTTCTTGTCATTCCCACGTCAAGAAAGTGAATATTTTGTTTGTTTCCAACTTCCAATGTGAATTTTATTTTTGGGTGGCAATTATTAAATGTCTTCAGAAAATGACAATGAGATCAACATCGGAACACCGGATGTTTATTTGAAGGAACTATTACTGCGTTGCACTTCCAATGTACAGTTTACTTTCAACGACGTAATTTATAGACAAGGACGGCATAGCATTGGGATCCCTGTGGGTCCATTACTTGCAGATTGCTTCATGCCTAACAGAATTTTATTATCAGTATTATTATCATCCTGTAAAAATAAGTACATATATTTGTGATTGTACAGCTTTGAAAATGAATTCGCCGAAAAGAAAACTCTTCGCTGAACTAATCTTCCTTAATTAAGATTACATTCACTTGGTGTTGTTTTACTTGTATCTTCCTATTGTTATATAGGACTGCAATTGATCAGTCTCATGTTGCAATATGTGCATCCTATGCGGATTGCCTCGATATAGCCTTAAGTCACAAGCTTTTTAAGCAAAGATGATTAGTGACTAGCAGTGGGATCCAGGACGCGCGTTTCGTTCTATTTGGGACTCATCAGCTGGATGTACCTGCATCCTAGGGTTGATGTAGCTAAGTGAAGAACGCGATGGCGTTTGAAGCGAACGGTACTGGGTTCGAGTCCCGGAGTGAACATGAACTCTGTGATGCAAGTAAATCCAGCCGAATCCCAAATAGGTCGAAACGCGCGTCCTGGATTCTACTGCTAGCCACTATTCATCTTTGCTTATTGACACATTACATTTTTACTTAAGTACGAATTCAGTATACTACATAAAATGTGACAATATTATGATTATACAGATAAAAAATGAGCACATATTGGGGACAGTCAGAAAGTAAAGATAATCACAAAATATAGTGAGCAAGTTTTATAGCGTTTTTCCCATCTTTCACATTAAAGTTGGATAAGAATGGATACAGGTAATCCAAGAGAAGCAGTAGTCCTATATTCATCTAACCTATCAATTACTGAACACGTTGCTTATTTGAGTTTAGACTTGAGTGACAATTAGGTCTCTAAACAACACATCGCTGAAGACCACTACAAGTGAGTGTTGACTGTAAATTTTGGTTTATTATGAACAAAACTAAAAAATAACGTATTTTACACTTAAATAAATAGTGTATCTCACTCATTCTTTGTTTTTAGACATTCAATCTACAGATTTTGAATCAGCTACAACCAAGTTCTTGTCCAATGTATTTGATGAAGGTCATCCTGATGTTAGCATTATCCATCATTGGTTGAGTTTAGGTTATAAATCGTTGGGGTCTTTGCAGGTATATAATTTCGCCACTCACTTATTACTGTAATATAGGACATGACTAACCATCCCTATTCCAGATGAAAACGAATAAGAATTCTGGTTTAGGCTGCCGCTTGAGGTTTTCATTTACCTGTACGAGTTTTTCACCTTTCTATCTCACTTAAACATATATTACACTCTTTGAATATTAACCCACATTCTTAGGTAACACTGAGCCATTCGCTAAAAAATTTCGGTTCTTATCATGCGCTACGATACAAAGACTAAGTTGCGTCAGATGATCATTTCATTAAGCAGCCTGTTGATGTGTATTATTGTTTGATATTTGAGAACCATAAATTCTATCTCGGAAATAATTTCGTGTTGAAAGAATCCTCGTAATGCTTCAAAATGAATTGATGTGAAATAGAAGATATTTCAAGCACATGCACAGAAGGAAGATACAATGATTCTATAAAGGGGATGGGTCAAAACACGTATCCACACTACAGTGTGTAAGGTATACTAAATTTATTTCCGATATAAGTGTTGGTCAGGCTGAAACAGTTTCAATCTACTAGTCCACTGCTATATACTAAAAATATGACTGGGTTCCAAAGTATGGGTTGTGATAGAACTGTAATCAGAGACATGTATCATCCTGTCTGTGCATGTAATAGGGTCGTCACGATAAACAACTGACATGGTATCTTTTTTTCACTTCAAGCTTATTTCGGGTCTGAATTCTTGTCAGAGTCTCAACATTTACGTATTTATTTTTGAAAATGTACAGATTACAGGATAGTTACTACTGTCGAATGTTAAAAGCAAATCGACGATGTATTCATCTGTTAGCTAAATCAATGTGTTATAAAAATATATGAGTGTCAAAAATTCTGTACGCTACTGAAGCTGAACGCAGCCAAGATAGCACTTTGTAACAACACAAATACTTCCAGTGATTCTCCGACTGTCTTTTTTTTTCAAAATGGGATGAAACTCTCTCCGACGTAAACTGAATAGTTCCAATAATGACCAATACCTCATTTTAACTGAATAACTTGGTGGATAATTGTAGCGGTTGTTTCGAAATTTAAGTCTCGCAAAAAACATAAGCACTTAATGGGACAATAAAAAAACAGATTTAGGCACACTCAAATGGTCAGTCCATAGAACAACGAAATTGTGATTTTTGGACTTTGTTTCTGCTTTAAAGGTTCACAGCTTGATAATTGTTACTAGTGTAAATATAATATCATAGATGTGTGGGATAAAGGCATTTCATATTCACTGAAGTTATTGTTCGAGGCTCTTGCTCAAAAAAATACATCAGAAATTCTTTAAAATTAATCGATGAGGAAATAAATTACAAGCAAGAAGTATCACACCGGTAATCATACATTTCGAGCATTACTGTTTCCAAGAAATGTTTTTAATTCGTATCTTGACCGACTTGATTATTATTCTTACCATCGTATAACTCCTCATGTGGAAAACGACCAGAGGAAATGGGGTTAATCTTGTAGTTTAAAAATCCTCATAGAATATTTGAGCGAACAATTTTTTCGATAACTTCATCATCAGGCTCTACAGTTATAAGTTCATTAGTATAATATTTTACAAGGGCCAAAATAAGGTATGTTATGTGTTAAAAATGTTGGACGTTTGCATTTACTGAGACATAAATGCTTCAGATAGATGTAATAAAAAAATGAAAAGGGGCGTAAGAGGTTTATAATATCTAATATAGGTATCCGGTGATCCAGTCGTTGGCCAAGGTAAACATAGAAGCTGGACGTACCTATCCTGGATACAAGTTTGGTTTTCTAGAGCTGATCCAGATGGCTTCAGCTATATGGCGTAGTCGTGATCTGGCTCCTTGAGATATATTTTTTGAAATTTTATAT